TACATCTTCAGAACAAACACAAATGTACCACGGAGATCTCTTTCCCTGGAATTTTCTCATTTTCTCTCTACATTTGAAAGTCGGTGAAAAGCAAAAAAAAAAAAAAACATCTGTTCCTTCCTGCAGTGCTAGCAACTCCCATTCTCTGGGTTAAAAATAAAACGTGTTTATGGAAACGTATAGATAGAATGATCACCTGCTTCAAAGGCAGCCGACAGTTAATTGGTTGAAAGACAGACAAAATCAAGGCCAACCAACAATTTCCCTGGGGACACTGCTGGTGCTCCCAGGGCCTCTGGGAATTTCCAAGACTCCCCTAAAATCCTGAGGGTTTGGCGAAGAGCCAGGTGGGGTGCCCAGGTGACGAGGAAACGGACATCAGGGACCTGGGTCAACCCAGATTCACTCCACACAACAAGAATCGTTCCCATGAGAACCTGGAGACGCTGTGCTTCACTCTGACCAGCCATCACGTTTATCCAGCCCGAGAAAGGCCAGCAATTTCAAAAATGCACCTCATTAAAAACAGAAATGAGAACAATCTCCAACGTGACGGCCTTCAGTTCCATCCTATTTTTTAAATGTTTTCTTCTCGATGCTGTCTTACAATGTCGGACTAAGCAATACGCAGGGGCACTCAGACATGAATCAGTACAGCCACTTCTATTTCTGGCTCAGCTTGCGAGTGAATCACACTGTGACCTTGAGAAAGTTATATCTTCTCTTTCCCCCATGTCCCCACCAGTTACAGCATTAGGATAAACCTACCGATTCTTTTCTTGTGGTTCTTTTTTTCCTTTTTTTGGAAAGACAATAGATGAGATAAATATATGGAAGCTGCTATACAAGTATGTACTGGTCGCTGACCAAGTACCTCCTCCAGTCATCACATACAAAGTAGTTGATGTCCACATTAAAATAACTAACTCTGGCCCGACCAGCATGACTCAGTGGTTGAGTGTCAACCTATGAACCAGGAGGTCACAGTTTGATTGCCAGTCAGGGCACAGGCCCGGGTTGTGGACTTGATCCTTAGGAGGGGACATGCAGGAGGCAGCCAATCCATGATTCTCTCTCATGATTGATGTTTCTATCTTTCCCTTCTTCTCTGAAATCAATAAAAATATAATTTAAAAAAAAATAACTATCCAGCCCTGGCCAGTTTGGCTCAGTAGATAGAGGACTCAAGGGTCCCAGGTTTGATTCAGGTCAAGGGCACATGCCCAGGTTGCGGGCTCCGTTCCCAGTAGGGGGTGTGCAGGAGGCAGCCGATCAATGATTCTCTCTCATCATTGATGTTTCTATCTCTCTCTTCCTTTCCCTTCCTCTCTGAAATCAATAAAAATATATAAAAAATAAAATAACTATCCAATCAAAAAATAGGCAAAGGACCTAAATGGACACTTTTCGAAAGAGGACATACAGAAGGCCAAGAGACATATGAAAACATGCGCAAAGTCACTGACCATCCGAGAGATGCAAATCAAAAAGACAATGAGGTACCATCTCACACCTGTCAGAATGGCTATCATCAACAAATCAACAAACAACAAGTGCTGGAGAGGATGTGGAGAAAAGGGAACCCTAGTCCACTGCTGGTAGGAATGCAGACTGGTGCAGCCACTGTGGAGAACAGTATGAAGTTTCCTCAAAAAATTAAAAACGGAAGTCCCATTGGACCCAGTGATCCCACTTCTAGGAATATATCCCAAGAAACCAGAAACACCAATCAGAAAGGATATGTGCACCCCTATATTCATAGCAGCACAATTTACAGTAGCTAAGATTTGGAAACAGCCTAAGTGCCCATCAGCAGATGAGTGGATTAAAGAACTGTGGTACATTTACACAATGGAATACTACGCTGCTGTAAAAAGGAAGGAACTCTTACCATCTGCAACAGCATGGAGGGACCTGGAGAGCATTATGCTAAGCGATGAGCCAGTCAGACAAAGATAAATATCACATGATCTCACTCATTTGTGGAATATAATGAACAACATACGTTGATGAACGAAAAATAGAGCCAGAGTCATAGAAGCACTGAACAGATCTTCCATCCTAAGAGGGAAGGCGGGGGAGGGGAGAGGAGGGGGGTAAGAGATCAACCAAAGGACTTGTATGCATGCACATGAGCATAACCAATGGACACAGACAGTAGGGGGGTGAGGGCAGGTGCTAGGAGGTGGGAGCGGCTGGGGAGAAGTCAATGGTGGGAAAAGGAGACTTTATGTAATACTTTAAACAACAAAGAATTAAATTAAAAAACTAACTCACCCTAGCTGGTTGGGCTCAGTGGATAGAGTGTCAGAGGAAGGAAGGAAGGAAGGAAGGAAGGAAGGAAGGAAGGAAGGAAGGAAGGAAGGAAGGGAGGGAGGGAGGGAGGGAGGGAGGGAGGGAGGGAGGGAGGGAGGGAGGGAGGGAGGGAGGGAGGAAGGGAGGGAGGAAGGAAGGGAGGACAACTCTGCACTCTCACAGTAAAAATTCTGTCTAGAGAGTCAACGAACCCCAGGTACTTCCTGAACTGGATTCCTTTAAAAAAAAAGTTCCAAATGGCCAATTGGCAAATACTTAAAAAATTAAAATGCAAGTTCTAAGCGCATACTGTTTTTTTTGTTCTTAAGGAAAACAAAACTTCAACCTATTTAGTGTCCTATGATCTCCAGGACTCACACCAACCCTTCTATGAAGTCCCTTCCCTTGGCCCCTGTCACGGAGATAAGTCACAGCATCCTGGGTGCCCCCAGGGTGTGGCGCTGTATGTCCATCCCTAAGTGCTCGGTCAGCGAGCTGGGAAAGGCAGAACCGTGACATGTATGCTGATCTTTGTATCTCCTACCATCTAGCAGCACTGCCTGGCAACTGTGGCTGCCGTGTGTGTGTGTGTGTGTGTGTGTGTGTGTGTGTGTGTGTGTACACATTCAGATATATTTTTTAAATGAATGAAATGAACATATTTCCAAAATCTACTGCTACTAGCAAGAGCAATATATATATATTTTAAATATTAATGAGTGATAGTCAATCTCGGTGACATCTTCACTTTTTGAAAAAAATATATAAAATGAATGTTACCTAAAGAGGAAATACATGATTTCTCATCAACATCAAATTCACAAAAATCAACTCAAGGACTTGCCAATAGTCTTCCTTCAAAAGAGTCTTGGGGGGCATGGGGGTTTGTTCGTTTATAATTGAACTAATGGGGATTAGACTATAAACATTCATTTTAACTTAACCTATACAATATGGGAAGGGAGGAAAAGAAGCAAGAGAGGGAGAGAGGGAGAGGGAGAGGGAGAGGGAGAGGGAGAGGGAGAGGGAGAGGGAGAGGGAGAGGGAGAGGGAGAGGGAGAGGGAGAGGGAGAGGGAGAGGGAGAGGGAGAGAGATTGCTGTTAAGTATAGTAATCAATAATCTATATATATAAAAGCCTAATATGCAGTGTCCCCTCAGGTGTTCTACCACCTGAGTTCGATCACTCACTATGACATGCACTGACCACCAGGGGGCGGCGCGGCATGAAGGTAGGCCCTGGCCAGCAACCAGCAGCCAGGGAAGGGAGGCCCCAGGGAACCTACCAGTGCACGAATTTCATGCACTGGGCCTCGAGCTGCAAAAATAAAAGACAGCCCATACATATAAATAAAAATGCGGTTGATGAACAGCAGTAATACCATAACATTAACAGCATGTAGCCTACTAATAAGTAGCCATGCCCACTGAGAAATGCCATCTAAGTCATCTCTTATAATCTATTTATTAAGGAACATAACACGACGCTAAGCTTTCCCAATTGCATTTGAAAATTTTAACCATTCCAGTATTTATCCCAAACCAACCAGGACGAGCATAACTTTTCTTTATTTTCCCCTACTCCTTAAATCCTTACACTCAATATGTCACTTAATAAGTAGACGCAGGAGTTAGTAAGCGTGAAATAAATGGACATTCTACCAGTGGACTCTTAGGTAAGGCCTTCGCAGCTCTACGCCTGTAAGGATAAACTCCTTAGACCACTTAGCATTTACCAGGTAAACTAGCCCTTTAGCTGGGCTTTCTGGAACCTGCCAGAGTCTATGTTACAACAACCAGAGGAGAGGGACCCACACAGTTGGACACCTATGTGGCTTTGGCCTTCCCACCTTCAGTACCTCTAATCGACACCTGTTTTGATGCACATGAAAGCATAGTATTCAGGAAATGAAAATGACCCCTAATATTCTACTTCGTTATTTGTTAATTTTCTAACACCGTGTGTTCTTTCGATCGCATTAGAAAACAGGAGTGGCCGCCTGGCTTCACTTAAGTCGCCTACCCAGCTTGCCCCAAGGTAGAAGGTACTGCCCCAGCCGGTTTGGCTCAGTGATAGAGCTTTGGCCTGGGGACTGAAGGGTCCCAGGTTCGATTCCCGGCATGTGGGAGGCAGCCGATCAATGATTCTCTTTCATCATTGATGTTTCTATCTCTCTCTCTCTCCCTTCCTCTCTGAAATCAATAATATATATGAAAAGAATAGGTTTTTTTTAAAGATAGAAGCTACTATTACATACAGATATGTACACATAGCTACGTGAGCCCAGCGACCACCGCTGGCTAGCTCCCACCAGAGTAAATGGTGTGTTTCTCCGCGCTGACACTTCTCACAGGACCAGGAGCAATTTTGCTCCTGTTAATGCTGTGGATGGGGGTGAGGAAGGAAAGAGAATGATGAAGAAAAAGAAAAAAAAAAGCGTTTATCTGCCTGGCTGACCCGGACACGGAAAACAGCAGGTATTTTTGGAGAGAATGGACAGAGCAGCCCTTTCCCGAGCTGCCTTAGGACCGACACGACTGAGCTGTTCCCTCCAAACGTTGTAAGGCAAGAGGGACCCCACTAAGCTGGACGCAAAGGGGACTCGCCACCAGGTCCCGGCTCTGCGGAGCCAGACGGGGCGGGCATCCGGGGCCGTGACTGGCAGGCGCCCTGCGACCCGAGGGCCGGCGGCGCGGCGAGCTCACCCGTGAACACGTTCTGGAAGCCGTCGGCGGCCGCCTGCGCCCCGGACCCCGCCGCGCGCTCCAGCAGGTGCGCCGGGCCCCCCGCCCGGGATGGGGGCGCGCGGGCGTCCGGCTCCTCCGTCCCGTCGGCGGAGCGGCTCAGGCCCCCGGAGAGGCCGCCGTCGGTGCGATGCGTCCCGGCCGGGGCGGCGGCGGGGGCGCCGGCGGCTCGGGGCCCGCGGCTCGGGGAGGCCTCCCGCCGCCTCGGGGCCCGGGGGCTCTGGCTGGGCGACTCGGACGGCGAGTGGCTGGGCGAGCTGAGCTGCCGCGTGGTGGTCCGCACGTAGGAGGGGGTGACGGGCGGGTAGGGCTTGCAGGAGCGCGGCCCGGGCGCCGGGCTGCCGGGCGGGGGGGCGGCCGCGGGGGCGCCGGGCCCGGGCGCCCCCTCCCCCAGCCCTGCCCCCGGCCCCCGCGGGGCCTCTCCCGCCGCCGGGCCCCACGCCTCGCCCGGGGAGCCGCGGGAGGCGTCCTCGAACGCATCCTCCTCGCCTTCCTCGTCCGTGTCCCCGGCCCCGGGCGCGGGGGCTGCGGCCTCGGGAAACGGGAAGGCGGTGGGCGCGGGCGAGTCCGAGGCCGGAGCCCCCACCCGCAGGCCGGGCGCCTCCGAGTCCCGGCGGCCGCTGGGGGGCGCGGGGGGCGCGGGGGGCGCGGGGGGCGCGCGCGCGGGCAGGTCCGAGAGCGCACACGCCGCCGGCTCCGCATCGGGGCCGCCCGGGATCCCGCCAGCCCCGCCGCCCGGGCCCAGCAGGAACCGGTCCAGGCCCAGGAAGGCCCCGGGCTCCGGGGAGGCGGCGGGGGGGCCGGCCGAGCCCTGCCCGGCCTGGAGCTGCTGCAGGCGGATGGCCTGCTGGATGTCGGACAGCAGGTCCTCCTGCTCCGCGGCCGAGTGGAAGCTGTAGATGTCCGTGTCCGAGCCCGAGCTGGTCCTTTGTCCATCGTGCGCGCCGGCCGCCGCGTCCGCCTCCTCCGCCGCCTCCCGGGCCCCGGCCCCGGCCCCCGCCCGCTCGGGGCTCCCGGCACGGGTCGCCTCGAAGGGGTCGGCGCCCTCGGTGTCCGACAGGCCCGTGTCGTCCGCCGAGAGGCTGAGATCGGGCGTCTTGGCGGCGACGGAGGGAGCGCTGTCCAGCTCCGCGCCCGGAGGGGCCTGGGCGTCCAGAGCATCCTCGCGGGAGCCGCCGGCGCCCTTCCCCTTGGACAGGGTCTTCCGGATCCTGAGGTTGGAGAACACGGAGCCCCGGGAGTCCGACTTGCTCTTCCTCTTGCCGGGCTCGCCGCCGCCGCCCCTGCCGTGCCTGCCCGCGGCCTTCTTGCCGCCGCTGCCCTTCTTGGCGGCCTCCGCGTCCCTGGGCCCCGCAGCCTCCTCCGCGCCGCCGCCGCCGCCTTCGTGCGCCGCATCCCCGGCGCTGCGCTTGAGCTTCCCATCCTGGTTCCCCATCGCGCACCCCCGCCGCGGCGCCGCCCCGGGCGCTCAGGCCATCGCGGCCGCCCTGGGCACCCCGGCCCGGCGGGGGCGAGTCTCCGGGGCCGGGCAGGCAGCCGGGCGAGCCGCTGGGAGGAGAGGCCGCCGCCGGCCCCGCGCGCCTCGGCCGCCGCTCGGCACAATGCGCGGCGCCTGCAGCCCGGGCCCCGCGAGCGCGAACGTGCTCGGTGCAGCGCGGCGCCAGCCAATGGCCGCGCGGGGTGCGCCCGGCCCGGCTCCCCGCCCCCCAACCCCCCGCCCCCCGCCCCCCGCCGGGCGCGCAAGAGCGGCTCCTGCATCCCCGCGGCCGGCATCTCCGCGGCGCGATCGCGGGCCCGGTCCCCGCCCGGAGCTCGGCGGCGGGGGATGCGCGCAGAGCGGCGAGGCTCCGGGACCTGCCGCCTCCGGGAAAGTCGGGCAAAAAGGGAAAGTTTCCGCCGCGAGAAGCTGGAGCCGAACTGCAGGGTCGAGGCGCTGAGCCACATCCGCTTGGACTCGTCCCCACCAATATTTGTTGAATGAATGGATAGTTCTCTTCTTGTAAGACCTGTTTAGTTGGTTTTTAGAGAGAGAGAGAGAGAGAGAGAGAGAGAGAGAGAGAGAGAGAGACCGATGGGACAGGGTCATCACCTGCCTCCTGCACACCCCACCCTGGGGATGGAGCTTGCAACCTGGGCCTGTGCCCTGACCGGGAATCGAACCGGTGACCTCTTAGTTCCTGGACTGTTCGGTTATGTAATGATTGAGCTTCTTTAATACTGTTAGTACCTGGACGATGGTAGGAAGGGTCACGGGGCATGTCTCCTGCAGACCTTGCATCTCCAGGGGAGAACAGTAGCCGTCATTTCAAAAGTTCATTTTAACTTTCTTTTTTTTGGGGGGGGGACATAATGGCGAGGTGGGGGAAAGCAGAAAATACTGAGCGATTAGGGTTGCTGGATATGCTAAGCTGCAAAATTCTGTGTGTTTACCATATAAATAAAACGGGATTTGTGTCTTAAAGGGTTGAAGATACAATAGGTCCCAGGAGGGCGGGCTCATCCATATTAAACACGCCGCTATTGTTGCGCCTGAGAAAAGGGTGCCGTAAATCACCACTTTCCCAGGCAGCCCCTCAACACAAGCTCTGGCCCTGCGTTCGCGGTTAAGGTTTGCAGCGGGTCCCTGCGACCGAGTTTGTGAGCGTCCTGGCTTCGATGTCCATGTCCAATTTTCCCTCCTTGCCAATCTTGCCTGTATTTTAATTGCTTAGGAAATTCAGTTACCTGTATAGTAAAAAGCATTTTTAAACATCCACCACTGGTATTTTTAAAAACTCGAAACCAGTGACGGCGAACCTTTGGAGCTCGGCGTGTCAGCATTTTGAAAAACCCTAACTTCACTCTGGTGCCGTGTCACCTATAGAAATTTTTTGATCTTTGCAACCAGAGTAAAACAAAGGCTTATATTTTTGATATTTATTTTATATATTTAAATGCCATTTAACAAAGAAAAATCAACCCCCCAAAAAAATGAGTTCGCGTGTCACCTCTGACATGCGTGTCATAGGTTCGCCACCACTGCTCTAAGCAGTAAGTTAACACAAGATTAAAGTCACGTTATGCAATCCTGGTCCAAGGAGGGGCGTTAGCATGTCACTGATAACCACTCTGAAAGGACGGAATAACTATCCAACGTGCGAGTATTTTATTTTTTTTAAGTAAAGCCCACAGGAGCCGTTTCAGTGCAGCAAGCCAATGTTTCTTTACAGATTGTGCACCAACCTTTTAAACCTCCCACCCACCCCCCGCCCCTTTAACCATTTTTATCAAAAGAAAAAGTTGGCCCTGCAAGTCTTTGAGGTTCAAGCATAAGTAGCAGCAATGAACAACTAGCCTTTACGTAACTGTTTTCCTTTAAAATACAGAACGTAAGGGTGGGTGGCCACCGGGCCTCAGGTGGCCCTTCTGGGGAGAGCTTTTGGAGAAATCCACTTTACAGCCTCACAGGGGAGGCCCCGCCTGCGAGCCATCCCGGGTGGAGGGGGGCAGATTGGGGGGGCGCCTGACACGCCTTTGTGTCCCCTCTTTTCAAGGCTGCCCTCTCTTCTCTTCTCAGATCCTGGCTCCTCGCTCAGCACAATCTGCGTGAGGCTGGTAGCATCGCCTGCTGCTCTGAGTAGGAACCCTATGAATCTCGACATTTGCTCTGTCTTTAACAGGACATCTTTGACGGCGAGCTATGTGTTTCCTTCCTGTTTTCTTCTGTGATACATTCTACAAGTTCCAGAGACAAAAGAAGAGAAGGAGAGAGGCAGGCAAGGAGGGGGGAAGGCCGAGCGGGGAGGAGAGAGGGGAGCTTGCTGATTTTCTTCACGTCCTTTGAAGGCGAGACAATAGATGACAGTTTGTCACCAGCGTACAGGTCACAGTGCACAAAGCTCTATTACGTTCAGCAAAGACACGGCCAACAGCATGCTGACACGTCTTCCCTGACAGACATGAGTTTGTCCGTGCATGTTGCAGACGATACTCTTAATATTGATCTGCGTCATCCAGCTCCCTGCAACCCTGTGTGTATGTTTTCAAGTATGCTTCCCATTGAATTCTAATCAATGTTATGCCTGGCCGGTGTGGCTCATTGCATTGAGCATTGCCCCATGGCCCCAGGGGTCAATAGTTCGATTCCCAGTCAGGGCACATGCCCGGGTTTTGGGCTTAATCCCACGTAGGGGGCGTGCAGGAGGCAGCCGATCAATCTCTCTCTCTCTCATCGGTGTTTCTCTCTCCCTCCCCCTTCCTCTCTCTCTAAAAAAAAAATCAATACAAACATATTTTTAAAAAATCAACGTGCTGCATGTTTATTTAATATGTAATGCTGCCATTTCTCTGATTCGTTTCTTAAAGCATCAAGACAAAAATGCAGGCTCCCAATGAAATCTTTCACTCCATTCTTAGGAAAAAAAAGTGAGTTGCTACAAGTGGGTCCGGAGCGACCGACAGTGTCCCCCGAAGCCCTCATGGCAGGGACGCCAGCAGACGAGAAGGCCCTTCCGAGGTTTGTGAATGTCAGTGGGAGGCAGCTCTGAGCAGGGACGTCAATAAAAAACAAGGGCTGGAGCTCGGAGTGGGCGGGGGGGACAAAGCGGGCAGTGAGCAGCTGGGCCTGGGCAGAGCGGAGTTCCAGCCGCGAGTAGGAGGCTGGAGGGTCAGAAATGCAGCCAGATGCCAACTGAGTCAGGTCTCTATGGAGCAGGGGGGGCGGGGGGGGGGCTGCCCGGAAAAGGGCGCAGATAGGAATGGGGGTCCCAGCCAGGCCTGACTCCGTGGTTGAGCGTCAACCTGTGAACCCAGAGTTCACGGTTCTGGTTCGATTCCTGGGCAGGACACATACCCGGGTTTCTGGCTCAATTCCCAGTAGGGGGCGTGCAGGGGGCAGCCGATCGATGTTTCGCTATCATCCATGTTTCTTTCTTTTTTTAATATATTTTTATTGATTTCAGAGAGGAAGGGAAAGGGAGAGAGATAGAAACATCCATGATGAGAGAGAATCATGGATGGGCTGCCTCCTGCAAGTCCCCCACTGGGGATCGAGCCTGCAACCCGGGCATGTGCCCTCGACCAGAATCGAACCTGGGACCTTTCAGTTCCCAGGCTGATGCTCTATCCACTGAGCCAAACTGGCTAGGGCTATCATCCATGTTTCTATCTCTCTCCCTCCCCCTTCCTCTCTCTCTCTCTCTCTCAAAAAAAAAAAAATCAATAGAAACGTATTTTAAACAATATGAGCTAGGTGATGAGTTTATCCTGAGGGGGAGAGCAGACTGTGGGTGGGGTCTCTACTGGCCCCAATGCCTTGAGTCCCAAAGACCTCGAGACCAAGATGCCATGTCTTCGAAGTCTGCTCTGTCCTGAAATGGTGTTTGTTTATTCAAACAAGGTGGAAACTTTCCCAGTTGCTGACTTCTGCCCTAACACTGCTTCCTGATATGATCTGCAAGTTCTCCCAGACTCCGAAGCACAAGGCCAAGGTTCTCCAACCATGCCCTCACCCCAGGTCAGGAGCCTCATCCAGATACGCCCATGTTTCCCGCCTCCTCTCAGGGGCCCATAACCCTGCCCCTGGGACCACTGTGTGCCCACCCTGAGAACTTGCCTGCCTTCTGCACTCTGAGAAGCCTGCTGGTCTGGCCGGTTCTTCCTGGGCGGCAAGGCCAGGGAATCGGGACTTTTCAAAAGCTTCAAAGAGCCCAGGGCACCGTGATGGAGCTGCGGATGTCCCCTTCTCCTGGCTTCTTTCGGGACGCACCCTAGAGGAGAAGACGGAACACGGGAACGTTACGGTGACAACACCGTCCAAAGAGAGGCAGATGTTGATGTGTTAGTGAGCGTGTGTTTGTGCACGTTTTCTCACGACTCTTTTTTGCTGACATTTCTCTCTCTTTTTTAAGATATTATTTGTATTGATTTCAGAGAGGAAGGGAGAGGGAGAGAAAGACGCATCCATGATGAGAGGGAATCATGGATCGGCTGCCTCCTACACGTCCCACACTGGGGATCGAGCCCACAACCCGGGCCTGTGCCCTGACCGGGAGTCGAACTGTGACCTCCTGGCTCCTAGGTTGCCGCTCAACCACTGAGCCACACCGGCCGGGCTCACTGAAGTTTCTGACGTGGACATCAAACAATGCTTCGTAGCCTTTCGGTACCCCCTGGAGTGGATGGAGGACAAGGCTCTGCAGGTCCCCGGATTTCCTGAACCAGGAGGTGCCCAGCCTCCTGGCCAGGAAATAGCACCACTGCCCAGCAGAGGGAGGTGCCCATGGCAGGAACACGGGGGCGTCAGAACAAGTGCCCTTGGCTTCTCTCTGAAGCAACGCCTGTGGCGCTTCTGGCAGCCACCGGAGGAGGTGTTTCTGTCTCAGGAAGCCCCCCTCAGGCCTAGCTGCGGTGGCTCAGTGGTGAGCATCGACCTAGGAACCAGGAGGTCAGGGTTCCATTCCCGGTCGGGGCCACATGCCCAGGTTGCGGGCTCGATCCCCAGTGTGGGGCGTGCAGGAGGCAGCCGATCCATGACTCTCTCTCATCACTGATGTTTCTATCTCTCTCT